AGCAAACATTTATTATATTACAATTTTCTAGATTCTCTTTTCAAATTAGTATTTTAATTAATTGATTAATTATAGTTCGTAAGTTTAGGATTTATAAGTTAGATTAGGATTGCCGTTAATTAGAATTATAGTTAGTTTAGAAGTAAGCTACTGGAATTCTACTCAAATTGTCTTATAGAATTCTCACTATTTTTTGAATTGATATAACTTTTTCATTTGTAATTCAATTTTTATAAGAAGTATATCAAAATTCATGATTTTTTATTAGCTTTCATATGACACCAATATTATATATGTAAAAATAAAAATAATTTTGAACATAGGAAAAATGGAAGTCTTTATGCTAAAAACTTTTTTGAAATAAATCCAAGTTTAAAATTAAGATCTCATTATTGTATAACATAATTTCATGCAGCAATCAGGGGACATTTTATTTATTGGCTGAAAGTGTTAATAAAGGAATATTAAGTTTTAAAACATATATTTAAAAACGACAACTCAAATTGAGTCAACAAAACGACTCAATTAAGACTTTCTTAAAAATCAGAAAGCATAAAGGACACAAGCAAGTGAGGAAAAAGTAGAACCTACATGTTTGCGACCCCGAATTTACAAAAAAAAAACTTTGGTTTTAAAATGATTTTTCTTTTAGTTTTAATATTGAAAAGTCGCTTATTTAGTCAATTATAACATTGATTTATAATGAATGTCCAAATTTATTTGAGTATGTCTAATTTTTTCACCAATTATCTAAACATGTTTGCAATCTATATTTTTCAATGAAAAGAGTAATTTTTTATAACTCTCACTTGCATCCCAAACAAAAAAGAAAATGTTCAATGCTTATTTTTGTTCATTAAGTTTCATCTGTGACTTATTGTTTTTTTCAAAACTAACTACATATTTTTGTAATTTGTTTATCTAAAAATAGATGTAGTCAATTTTATTGAAGATATTATGCCTTCTCGGTTTTAGAATTTTACCAATTAGTCCCTCAACCTATTTCTTTACAAAAAGAGTTCAAAATATATACTTTTGTGACATCCCAATGAAAATATCCTTGATTAGAAAGGTGAACATAAATTTGAAATAGCATTTAGACTCAACATTTCAGCCTATATACCTTCAACTTTTTTATTTGTACTCCGTTTGTCCAAATAAACCTGTATTTATTTTTGACATTTTGTATTTCACTTTTTCATATTGTTTTCGTTTTTTACGTGTGTAAATTTATTTTCACTATTAATAATACTTGGTAAATGACAATGAAGATTTACCCTGCCAACTTTTGTGATTTGCCTTTTTGGTTAAAGAGAGTTTTATAGCATTTAGATTCTAATTGTGGCGACAACAACAACATTAGATATATGCATCCTTCATATCAAATATCTAAAAAGTTGAAACAAATATTAATTACCCCCACACATGGAATGCCTAAACATGCATTGCAACATAAATATACTTGATGTTTTCTCAGTATGAATTCATGTATTCACTTTCTCAAAAGGCAGCGTGCACACATTGTAGAATTGTTGGATAATATCACATCTTAATAGATCTTAATCTCTGTTGAAGATATAGTTGATGCATGTATGTTAAAACAATAACATTATAACCCGAACTAATGCATTTAAAGTAATTTTGCCTTTACGTACCGTTGCCATGAAAATATGGAACCTAGAAGTCTTATATAGAACAAAATTGAAAATCCATAACAAGTAGAACTACTAACAAAATTTAATATTTGAATTAGATCAACAATATATATATCGATACTCACCACAAACGAAATCAAATAATAATAGTATAATACAACCTTATTATACCTCAAATCAGTCAATGGCGAACCCACAAATTATATACGTACCCTTAACATTCTTTTTTTCAAATTCACTTTAGGGCACTCCATTAATTGTTCTTAAATGCATTATCGTCTAGAAAAGAATGTTGGACAACTATTATAAAAATAATTCGTTTATGGTTCGTGGATTGCTCTTTCAACGGAATTATTGTTTATGGTTCGTTCATATCATGAATTGTAAAACTTAAGATATTTATTTAAGTAACATCCCAAACAATGATATCTATTTCTAAACTACACCTCTCATATTCAGAAATAAAAAATGATATTAATTTTCATGATCAAAAGTCTTTTATTAAAGTTACATCCATGAGTAAAAGAATTGCCAATTACCCTTATACATAATTCAGCTTATTTATCTAGCTCTTAAACAACCATTTTAATGTTAGGATACAATTGCTATATATGTAATTAATTAATAAAATTTTACCAGAGTATGAAAATTTCTAAAATATAAAAAGACATTGGTAAAAGAGAAATCCACTGAATAAGAATAATAGTGCATAAAGGCTTACTATAATATCTACTATTAAACTAAACTATTAATAAAAAATCTTCTGCGTTTAGATAAACTAACAAAAAATTTGTCAGCTTTAAGAGCTTTACAAAGAGATATTTGGTACACATATGAGATTTCTTATACTATGAAGTCTTAAGACAAAGAATTCGTCATCTTCCATTTAGACATCTGAAGGTTTTATTAATTACGTATAACAATCACATCCTCACATTAAAAGTGGTGTTTAAGAGCTAGATAAGTAAGCTGGGGCGTGTATAAAAGATAATTTTTTTACTTGTGGGTGTAACTGTAATATAGTACTATTTGGTCATGGAAATTGAGACCATTTTTTATTTCTGAATATGGGACATTTGTCTTTTGTTTGTTGCATAGTTTGACATATTTATGTTTTGATTATTAGCTACCACTTGATGTGAGATTGTCTTTATTGATTTAAATCATCTCATCATCTAAGTAAGAATCGTCTACTAAAAGTCTACAATATGCAACCTTTCTTCGTTTAAGAATACTTAATTTACTTAAAATAAAATCATAATACCCGTAATAAATCAATCTAACAAAAATAAATTAACCACCGTCCATCATGTGACGTAGCATGTTCTCACATTCTTTAAAATTAGACTGTCTCAAACTATATTGGTTGAACTATTTTTTTAAGAAAAAGATCGAAGGACTAATTTGCTAAACTCAAAATTCTATAAGGGCTATTATCTTTAAAAAATGATTCCACCCATCATTGAATTAAATAAATCAATCACGAAAGTGTGTAATTAGTTTTGCATTGAGCAATTTCTTTTTTTATTTAGGTGAAAATGGTTGAAAAGACTTATTGCATTTGAATGCAACTGAGAGTTATAAACAAAACTGTCTCTTTTAATTAAAAACTATAGACTAAAAACATGTTGAGATAATTAGTTCAAAAACAAGATAAACATTAGTTATACTCAATAAATAGGAGCATGCATTATCAATCAATCTTATAATCGACTAAATAACCGATTTTCCATTAGTTATGGACTTATGATATACAACTCATAGACATGATTGTGCACGTGGACATATATAAAATTAAAAATAAAAATATTTTATCCCGTGCACGGCACGGGTAAAGACAGTAGTATGATACTCATTTATCGATGACATGTGAAACTCATTATAAACAACCATTTAATGAAGGCACATTCTGTGATATAAATGAACCCTAAATGAATCTCAAATCACCGCATCAGTATTAGGACGGAGATGATAAGGGCAAATCTTCTTTAATTGCATGTGAATTAGCCCCTAGCCACCACCTGAATAGAACTTGCCTCACTTCTTGTTGAACAGACCTCTACTTGCAAGTTGCAATATACCGTTATAATATGTCTAGGTACGTCTAACTTTTGGGCAAGAATATAAGTTGTGCCCCTGTGATTGTTCATCTAGTAAACAAAAAGGACATCTAGAAACTAAGGAATGTTTACTTGGAAGGCTAACAAGCGGTGCTTACTAAACATCCTCTTAATAAGCAATTCTTAGTAAGAGGCGTTTAGTAAGCATATGTTTACTTCAATACGATTTCATGCTTCGTAACACAAACATGTGTTTAGTTTATTAGGATTAAAATATGTTTTAACTGTAAAAGTCAAATTTAACCTTCAACTCAACACCTTTATTATTAACTAATAAAAACCTAGCAGGCTTTTGTCCCTCTTTATCATAAATCGTCTACTTCATAATTCATCATTTTGTGTTTTACTGGGTTTTGAATAGATACAATTCTAGTTACTTCAATAATGGAGAATAGATTTTTTGGTTGAATTCACAATTGATTTCTATTTTCTATTCTAATTCACGAAAGATAATTTAATCCAAAGATGTGATTAATTATTGGCTAAATTGAAAAATAAACAAATAAAAACTAACCTAAATGAAGAGATTTATTAAACAACGGTGAGATCTGAAGATGCATAACAAACACTCCGTATAAAGAAGTGTGATGGCCGATGGTGTAGCATTGGCTATGGGGGAAGAAGATAGATGGCGTGTCGGCAAATGGTTGTCAGGTACTCAGGTTATATGCCGTGTTGGAAAGGATAATAATGTAAATAAATATTTCGGTGCATTATAATGCAGGGATAGGATGGCCAATATGAAAAGGGTTAAAACACCGGGTATTTAATACATGGGGGGTGCAGAAGTATAATACACAACTACATAAGCAGTCCTGATCCTTAGTAAGCGTAACTTTACCCGGATGAATTGTTTACTTCAGTTGTATAACTAACCTAAGAGTATAATAAACAGTGAAGTAAACATGTCGTAACTGAAACCGTAATCTTCAAAGATTTGCCATTCACGAACTAGAAACTGACTGAAACTAAAATCTTCTTAGATTTTCCGGGAACGGACGTGACTGGCCGTTTCCGCCCTACTCTGACCAAACTATATCGACGACCAGAAAGAGGTTTCTGTGACTCCAGTTCTAGTCCAGATCCACAATTGTGTCAACCATTATTGTATCACCGAGTTCTCCACTTCTCTGATTTTAGAGAACGACTAAAATGGGGTTTCCACTTTTAGAGATTAAAAAATGTTTCCATTTTCTAATTTTGGAAAACAATAAAGTAAACAAGCTTTCTAACTTGGTAATCCGCCTACAATAAAAAAAACTTGGTAATCCGCCTCAAAGTGTTCGCTACCCAAAGTCCCGAACCATAGGAGTTGAGGACCCTTGTCCATATAACTTTGGGCATTTACCTTTAGCATGTCTGACATTTATGTTTTACAAATTATATCAGTGAAACCAAAAGGAGCAAGCCACATATTTTTAATAGCTCAACGAGAGGTCTAGCTGATATATTACGTTAAACCTAAGGTAGATGAAATCATGATTTTCTGCATACAATAACTGCCTGCTACACAGCATTTAGTTAATACATTATACATTGCAGCCAAAGAGAACAAGACCACAACTGACCAATCTGCAACAGCTACCTAGAGTCATATTGCTTCCTCTCTTTTTGTATAGATTGAAAGATCCTAGCAGCAGATTCAGATGCAGATCTAGCATTGTGAGGCACAACTCTTATTACCCTTGGAGGATGAGCAGTATTAGGAGGTTGACTTGCGTCCATGTTGACAGCTGGGGATGTGGAAAATGGAGGAAGACTGATATTTCCTTGTGTGGGACCACTAACTGTCACTCCCTGTGCTCTTTCACTGGCACTACTAGCACAGCTCGCTCGTAGCTCATTATCTGAAACGGCCCCACCTTTTTGACTTGGCGTGTTGCATGAGCTTTGGGGTTTAAAGTTGCCCGCTGCACCTGATACATGAACTGAAGAGCCCATCGCAGGAAATGGGTTCATCTGTTCAACACCTGAAGTCGAGACATCGGGATTAGCTAATGGTACAGCATATGGAGGAAAATAGCCATGACCTGCTGGAGATGCAAAAGGTACACTCATTCCTTGAGAGTGATATTGAGAAGCTGGTACTCCATATGCAGGAGCCAAAAAGTTTCCCATTGCTGGGGTGGACCCTGGTGGGCCACAGTCAGCAGTTGTCAATCCAGGTCCAGGATATGGTTTGTATACAAGACCTTCAGATGGAGTCATCACTGGAATCAACCATTGGTCCCCCGAGGGGTGACGGTAAAATAACGGCCCCACGATAGGATCATTGCTTGCCACCGCCAATGGTGTTCTTCCTGGGATGGGATTATCAATTGGAGTTTGAGTAACATTTTGCACAGAAGAAGATGACGATCTACCCATAGTATCTTCTGTGGAGCATTCCTTTCTTAGATGGAGCAATTCAGAATTGCTTATGTGGTTTGAAACATTTTGAGTTGCTTTTGTAATACACTTGGATGGCAACCTTTCCAGGGAAGAACTGTTTAAAGGTTTGCCTAAAAAAGCTGAAGCATCATCAAGCACATGATTGGGAGACCCAGCTAAGAGCTTCTGAACCTGTTACACTTGAATAAGCTAATTATATTGTCAACACAGGACAAAGCAATTGAATAAGAATATATTACTCCATGACAGTAGCAATTAAATAAGATTACAGACTACAAAATTGTGTAATACTAGCTTGCAAAAAGTTCAATTAATTTGAAATTAAACATCAAAGGGCTAAATTTTCTGAATAAGGATGGCCATTGTGGCTGCACAGTAGCTGTATGCCTGTATCTACTGTTATCTCCGGTGGCATCTGTGGACTGGCGGCACAAAACAGTGCCACCCCAACGACGCCGGAAGCACTAGACTGCAACGCCGCAGTTGACAATGGAGCCAGATCGTACCAGGGTTGCAACTACAGGCAGTGCTAGATAACAGCAAACATCACCAGTGTCGGTGCCCGATAGTAGCAGTCATAATCAGAGTCTCCAACGATGGGGACACTAGTACTAGTACACCTACTAGTCTACTACTACTGGCATACCCGGCTAGTGTTGTACTTATTCATATATTGTTGAAAGCGGGGTTCCCGTATTTATAAATTTGTAGTGCCATGTACTAGACAAACTCATTCACGTGACACCCGAGTTTGCAGAAAAAGTATATACCTTTATTAATCTATGCAACTCGAACACTTGAGCTGCAAACACTCTTTGCTGACTGTAATAGAGGTAAAATAGATGGGAGGGAGTCAGGAAACAGATGGAAATTTCTTTGTAAATGCATCCGGTAAATTGTGCATAAACAAGAAATTGATTCATTAATCAAACACTGTTAAGTAGAAAAAGAAAATCATGACACACACTAAAACTGCAGAGCCTCATTGATACCCAATTAAACTTTATTCATTTGCATTTGGCAGTCAATAGCAAAGATGAAGGGTATTCTATTGAGTGTTTGGCTGAGAATCCTTCCATCATTTGCAATGGAGCCATATTCATTATTTTTTGGCTTGAGAATATGATTGAATAAAGCAAAATGGCTCACTAAACTGTCTGCGCTTCTTTGTTATGAAGTAGCAGTCAGTCCATGCAATTTTGGACGCGTTTTTCACTATGGGTCATCCGGAAACAGTCTCTCTGTGCTTTGGTATTGGGGTAAGACTGTGTACATCCGACCCCCCCTTACCCCACCGTAGGTGGGAGCCTTTGCGGCACTGGGGTAAATGAAAATGAAATGAAATGTTTGGCTGAGAATGATAACATTGAGAAAGAAGATCAAGGTATCATTTTCTATCCAGATCATGTTTACAATCACGAATGTTAAAGGCTGGGACATAGAACTAAGCTCACAGCTAATGGGCTGTTTAGCTTCACTATCACATGTACCAAAACATTTTTACTAGTAAAAAGCTAATTGATCAAGCTTTACATATAATAGGTTGTTTATAGAGTGTTCTGTAATTTTTTTTACTAATATGTCTTAGTAAAATTAGTTTTATTTTTCATTAATTTGCGCAAAGCTAGTATCCAAAAACAGATTTTTCAATCAATTTAAAATAGAGGTTTATTTAGCAACTCTTCAAACACTCAAACGAAAGGCGGTTTTCCTAATCCAAAGCACAGTATTTTCAACACAATTAACACTGTCAAAACAAAACATTTTAAATTATAAAGCAAGACAATTAACAAACACATATTTTCTCTTTCATTAATTTTACACCAAACAGATATCCATAAACTGGTTTTTCAATCAAATTAAAATTGAGTTATCAGTAGCGACTACCAAAATACTTGGGCAAAGGCTCCTTTCACAATTCAAGTGACTGTTTAAAACCCAAAAAAAAATCAAAACAAAACATTTGAAATCATAAGAGTGTTTTCAAATCATTTAAACAAATGACCCCAAAATGAAAAAACATGCATGTTACAAAGAGACAGAGCCAAATAAAAGAAACATATGAAGAATAAACATTTCAGAAATGGACTTACTTCATAATACTTTTTCTGGCATTCCAAAAGTGACTTTGACCAATCATCCCAACAACATCATCAGGAGATATCTCTATTGCGGACATACAGGAAGTGCTGTTGCCTCTATCAACAATTCCGGTTTGTAGCAATCCACCAGTTCGGTATTCCGGAGACTCTGTATCATTTACAAGATTAATAATTTGCTCTTCTGTTTGAAAACCATTAATTGGGTTAGAAAAATCACCATCTTCCGCATCCTGAATAGGCCCATTTATATTAGCACCATCATTGGTAGTAACAACTTTACAATCACCTACTTTTTTGGGAATTAGATTTATTCCACTCTTGCGTGACGGGAAAAAAGTATTGGCAGGACCATCACTCGGTTCATAATGTTTAAAACAGTGTTTCTTCTTATTGCTGGATGGTGAATTCAAGGAAATATTAACAACTTTTTCTCCTCTCTCAGGTAGCTGCTGTTTTGAGGTCTTCTGTTCTCTCAAATTTTCTCCACTTGTGAACTTCGCCTCTTTATCGGGATGCATACGAAACGTTGGACTTGAGGTGGAAACCATTCCCCCCTCTGACTTATTATGAAATTTCCTAATACCTTGACTGGCATTAGAATTAAAGAAGACGGGAACTCTAAAATCATCTTCATCCGTTTTCTTTCGGGACTCAGACTGTGCTGGATGAGTCTTTGAATCAGCACTGTGCACATGTAATTTCTCAGCTGAATGTGTGGATGGTGGCAAATGCCATGGAGGAAACATATTTCTTTCATGTCCAGAATACTGTAGGAAGGAGATCTATATGAGGTTGATAGAAAAATTCCATTTCGCAGTAAAAAGAATCACAAATATGCGACATGATTCTGACTAGAGAGCAGTGTGCAAAATAATTCTGACTCGGGAGCAGTGTACAAAATCTAATCCAGACTAGAGAGGAAAGAGCGTAGGATGTAAACAACACAAGCATTTCATGCGGGGAAACACTTGCAATTTAATTGGCTCTATTTTTCTCTAGACATGATACATGAACTTCTAAAAATTATTGGAATGTTAGAGATTCACAAATACTAAACCCCCTATCTACAATGTGTTATAGGAATATATAGTTATACGCTGCACTATTTTCAACTGCATTACTACAAGCTTAAAACTAATTCCAATTTACAAATTGATCAAGCTTGATACTACATTACCACCACCAATCCAAGCCCAAATATTCCACTGAGGCTTGCTAAACAGCTCCCTGCTGACAAAACCCAACCCAGTAACATGGGGGTTGGACATGAGCATATGGGGGTGGGACATGTCACTAGGCAAAGCGGAACCAAATAACATGGGGTGGATTGGTGGAACATGAGCATACGGGCGGGACATGACTCTAAAAGCTCAGTTCCATGACATGGATATCAGCTCATCCACCTGATACTCTGATAGTATGGTTGGTGTCTACCCTTTCATCAAACAAAATAAAAAACAAAAGAAAAGTCCATGAACGCTGAACCAGTGGAGGCAAACTCAAAATAACAGAGCTAATGGTTTTGCACTTTTGCATAGGTTCTAAAAATTGGTTCGCTCAAGTTCTCAACCAGTCATTTAAAGTTTTCCCTAAAAAGTTAAAACTTTACAAAGTATGTACTTATGCTAAACTGAACAATGAAATAGATACTACAAAGAGAGGCTACCAGTTTACCTGGCTGACTGAGGGTGGTAGGGTCGTGTTGGAAGCGTTTTTAGGGCCTGGGGACGAAACTCCCTTATTGAACCGCTGAGAGGGGATGCTAAGCTGCTCGTACAGGGCCATCTTGTTCCTTGGAGGAGCTCTTGGTCCTCCCTTGTCAGGATTATTCACATTAAGCCTAGGAAACATTGGCCCCGATATTTTATCATCGTCTTTCCCTCTCTTCATCTTAGCTCTAGATTCAACCAGTCTCACAACATTAACAGCAAAATCATTAGGTCAAATCCACTGTTTCAAATAAATCCAAGCATTAGAGAGTCACCAACTCTCCGGACAGAGTATATCAGATCCAGTAGAGCTTCGAAACATCAAATTCAGAAGCAGACAAGTCAGCGTATGTTCTTCATCCCCAAATTCAACACCTGAAAACCGAGCAACGCCCCAGAGACTATTCGGATTTCGCACTGAACCGCAAAAAGATCGATTCCAACGAAGCTCATAAAAGCCAACTTTTTTCTTTCAAGGAATATATCCGATGAAACAAAGGCCACCGTAGCCGGTAGGTATAAGAAAAATGGTTAATTAAATAATTAAAAAAGGAGATTGAGAAAACGTTTGCCTTTTAATTTCTATTTTAATATTTTAATATTTTATGAATGGTCCCGGATAATCCCAATTTCTTGGATTGATTAATTTATTTTTTTGGGAAAGATTTCTGGATTAAATTTTCTGTCTCCAATACCTTGGCTACCTGTCTGGCTATCAGAAGTGTTCTTAAACTTACCCCGTTTATTCAGTACTTTAGTCATGCTTCCAGCCTCCCCTTTGTTGGTAATTGTATATCTTCAAATAGTCATTTATGCTACTACTAATCAATCAGGATGTTTTTCGTTGGACCCGATATTTGTTGGTTCTAGTTCGATCTAGTTTGATTTGATCTGTTTAAATCTAATCTGGTCTGAATTGATCTGGTCTGATCTGATAAATGTTTGGTCTCTGTGTATTTTATAATTGTACATGTCTGGTCGTGTCTGGTCTGTTTAAGTCTAGTCTGATCCGATCTGATTTGGTCTAAAACTGAAAACAGTCCAAAAAAAACAACCCATCAAAATTATACTCCATATTCATTAACACATCTTAAGTTAATCGTTTAAATCATTAGTCGTTCTTAAAATATACCGAATATTACTTCTTATATTAAATAATTAACCAAAGTAGATTGAGAAGACATCTTGGAATCCTGTTTTTAATATTTTATGAATTATCACGGATAATCTCAATTTCTTGGATTAATTTTCTTTCCCAAGGAAAAGATTAGGGCATGTTTACTAACAGAGATATTTTCCAGTTTTGCAGAAAACTGGAAAACTGGAAAACAGAAAACAGAAAACAGTAAACGTGTTTACCAAAGAAATTGCTGGAAAACTGGAGAAAGGAAAAAAGAAAAACGCGTTTACCAAATCGTTTTCCAATACGGAAAAATTGAGACATGTCTCTCTTTTCCTTAATGATTTGGAGAAGTGACTTTTACTAGTTTTCCAAATTTGGAAAACGCAGATGCTACAGTGCCGCTGCAATGAATTTGCATACTTACACCTAGTGATGGGTCCGGTCCCACTCCGATGTCGATTCCATTCTGGTACCTCCATCCCCGTACCTTACCCCTTACCGGTACCCACCCTTACCGCCATCCTACCCCCCACCCTACCCCTTCCCTACCTCGGCCCCACCCTGGTCCCGACCCCACCCTACCGCCATCCTATCCCAACTCCCTACCCTACCCCTACCTTACCCCAACCCTACCCACTACCCCACCCTTACCCCTAACCACGACCCTACCCACCCACTACCCCCACCCAACCCTCAACCCCTAGACCTTACCACCCCACCCGACCATACCCCTTACCCCATCCCCACCCATAACTTCCCGACCCCTACGAGTAGGTATGGGAGGGTATGAAGGGTTGTGTGGGAGTATGTGTAGAGTGTAAGATCGTGGTAAGGGTAGGGGTAGGGGTCAAGGGTGCGAAATTGGAGAACTGGGTGAAAAAATTGATGAACATGTTTTCAGATTTGAAAATGGAAAACTAAAAAATAGAAACAGAAAATTGGAGATAGAAAAATTAAAAAATAAAAACAGAAAATTGGAGAACGAAAAACAGAAATTAAAAACAGAAAAATATCTCAGTTAGAAAACAGGCCCTTAAATTATGTGTCTCCGAGCCCAACTATGGCTCAACTACGTATCTCAAGTATTCATATACTGTTTTATTGAGTACTTTGATCCGCATGATGATCATTTGTTCCACATTTTATTGATACTCCAAATCATACACTCTCCAATCTCCATGAGCCGTCGTGATTTGGCGCGGTCCCCGATGAAACTTTTTGATGAAATTTTTTAGCATCTTATTCATCAAGTCTAGTTTACTCATACAAAATATCAACTAAAACTTCAATCGGAAACGCATTCAAACTAATTCTTGAAGATAACTATGCAATTAAATGTGCAGTTATCTTCAAAAATTAATTTGAATGCGTTCCCGATTGAAGTTTTAGCTGATATTTGGTATGAGTAAACTAGCCTTAATGAATAAGATGCTCAAAAATGTTCATCAAAAAAATCCACTGGGAACCGCCCCAAATCGAGACGGCCGGACAGAGCCTCTATATAAGGACTCATTTGACATTTCTATGAAAGTTGGAGGACCACAGTTTTTCCATTATAATAAAATCACACAAGCAAAAACTCTATTGAAGGCATAATGTATAGTTCTATAAAATTCTTATTCATCGAAGGTGTAAAAATGTAAAGGCTGGGTAAAAGAGCACGAGGCCTGAAGAAAAACAAAAGTTTTTAGGGAAATTATATTTCAAAGAAAATTTTCAATTAAATATAAATAAAATACAATTCTATAAAGAAGTTACGTATGTAATCTAACAATAACAACTAAAAGTATATTGTTTTGTATTTGCATATGTTTATACTATAAATTTTATATATTCATTAAAAGAAAGTAGAAAAGATGCTAAGAATTGTATTTTTTTTATTTAAATTTTTCCTTCTTTTAGTGTATTTTGATGCACAATCTAGAAGTAGTGTGATTTATTTATTCCACACGAAATGCAAAAAGATGCACGCATTTTCAATTGTTTATATTTAAGTCATTTGTAATAATAAAGAATCATTTCCAAAGTTGTGAAAGAATAGATTTATTGATTTTAAAATGAAACAATGAAGTAATAGGATGTTCTATTACTACGTATTATTTTTAAATTGCATCTCAAGTAAGGGGGGAAATAGTAAGCATTCCCACAAAGCATATATGTTCCATAATCTGTAATTAAGTCCGATATGAAATAAGATTTTTTTTGTTTAAATTTTAATTAAGATCTAAATAAATCATATGAGTTTTTTTATACCAAAAATCATCTGAGTTATGTAAAACAAATAATTATACTCCGTAGTTATTATTATATTATACTACCTCCGTCCCAAAATACTTAGCCAAATTCCAAACTTTTACCAATTATATATATATATTTATTGGAAATTATTTATAATATCAAAGTGATATGAAAATGTTCTTTGTTAAAATTACATTCATAAAAAGTACTCCCTCCGTCCCGTTAGAAGGTTCTCACTTTCCTTTTTTGGACGTCCTGTTAGAAAGTTCTGATTTCCATTTTAGGAAACAATTAACAATCTTAAGTGACAAATTAGTCATTAAATATTAAAAATAATACATTTATAACATCACAGTTATCAATACTAACACATTATAATATATACCTATTAAAATTATTTCTCAAAATATACCTGAAGTACTTTATTTAATTATCACCTAAATAACCGTGTCGTGTTGCTATGGGAACCTTCTAGCGGGACTAGGGGTGGACTCGGGTCGGGCCGATACCCGGTCTTGGGGCCGGTTCGGGCCAACCGGAACCGCCCAACTCCCGATTTGGGCTTGGGCCTTGAAAATGTTGAACCGGCCCGGCCGGTTCGGGCCAAAATTGTTTTTTTTTTTTTCATTTTTTTTGTTTCTACCGGGTAGGGCTGGGGTGTTTTGGGGGTGGGGGTGAGGGGGGGGGGTCGGGGGTAATTTAGAAAAACAAAAGAAAATTAAAAAAAACATTGAACCGGAAACCGGCCCGGCCCGCCGGTCACCCAGGCCGGTTCCGGTTCCCTACTTCCCAAACAAAAACTCGGCCCAGGTCCATCCCTAAGCCGGACGAAGGTAGTATAAAATGTATAAGTTTCATAATATTATACTGATCAAAACCTTGATCCAAATTTTAAAATCTGGCTAAGTATTTTGGGACGGAGGCAGAGGCGGCTTTTGGGGGAGTTGGCCAAGGCAAATGCCTTGGGCCTCACATCCAAATAGGGCCTCCAAAAAAAATTATTAATATTAGTATTATGTACAATTATTCAATAATTGGAAACTGGGATATGAAAATTGTCGTCTGGTCTTAGTCCACCGTCCACGCGACCACGCATCTGGGAAGAGCGCAATTGAGTAATGAGATTATCGATTACGGGAAGGGTTGTGCTTCTTGTCCTCTTCCGACGCCCGACATGTCGACAACTTCACCGAGTCGCCGTCCAGTGTTCCAAGGACTCCCAGCCCACCCAGTCCGTCAATTGAATGCCACTCCGAGACGCCGCCACTATCACCCGTTGATCTGGACGGCTCTCCGATTTCTCTTTGCAGGCTCTCAGTCTCGTATTTTTCTTCTAATCTCCTTCTCTTAATATCTTACTTTGCATTACCTTCTGGATTTTTGTCTTTCTATGAATCGATGGATTCACTTTATAGGGGGTTCTGTCCGGCCGTCGCGATTTGAGGCAGTTCCCGGTGGAATTTTTTGATGAATTTTTTTGAGCATCTTATTCACCAAGTCTAGTTTACTCATACCAAATTTCAGCTAAAAATTCAATCGGGAACACATTCAAATTAATTCTTGAAGATAACTGCGCATTTTTGCGTTCTCGAATTAATTTTAATGCGCTCCCGATTAAATTTTTAGCTGAAATTTGGTATGAGTAAACTAGACTTGATAAATAAGATGCACAAAAAATTTCATCAAAAAAATCCACCGGGAACCGCCCTAAATCGCGACGGCCGGACAGAACCTCTTATAGCAGGACTTAATTGACCTTTTTATGAAAGTTCGAGGACCTATTTGACAGTTTTCCCATGCCTAAATAGTAAATAGTAAATACGAGTAGTAAATACAAGTGAACTAGTGCCTGAATAGTTTAAAGAAAATGATAAAGGTGTAAAGTTAAATACTTAATATCTTAAACATATGACTTTAAATTAAAATTTGTAAATAATTGAGTTAATATTGGTATTGTATGGATTAGGGATGAGATGATATAGGCATGAAATAATTAATTTGATGAAATTAGTATTACTAAATTACAGAGTAGTTATTTTCTTCGCTTATTGCTCGTATTTAGAAATTTTAGGCTTTAATTAATTGATTTGTATGTGAATTTTGCATCATCTATTAATATGTAGGGATATACAAAGAGAAAGAATAAGTTGAGACAACTCGTGAATCTCTCTTTCATGAACTTTCTTGCAACACTCACGTTATATCATGCAATTTGAATATGTTTTTATTCATAACGTTTTTTATTCAATTTATCTCATGCATTCTCAAAATAATTTGTGCACGGTAGATACTTTTGTGTCTAGGGCCTCCTAATTGCTCAAGCCGCCCCTGAACTGAGGTAGTATTGTATAATCCATGATGCGGCACGGGGAAATGATAATGAATGATGTATTGTATAATTCATGGTCATTTATTAACATACACCTTTTACATGACCATATTAAAAAAATGATTTAAAAGTGAGTAAAAATGATTTAATGGCTGAACAA